TTCAACAAAATTTCGCATACATCAATATGGACCTAATTCAGTACGTAAATAAATGCGACCTGTACTTTGCTGACAAAAATACATGGACGGATGGACAGACGGACATGCAAAAATCGACTCAGAAAATCTATTACGATACGTTTTGCCTGTTACAAATATTTGCACAAAGACATAATATCCTGTACCACAGTGTGGTGAAGGGTATAAAAATGCTAAATAAAAACATTGAAGTGAGTAGTGTGCATTTTTATTACAAATTTGTTGATTATCTAGAAGGCACGTTGAATGCCGGAGGCTGGGATATGATAAATTCAGATACAGCTTTAATTTTCTTAAGAAAATTTCTATTTTGTGAAAGAGGTAGCAGATAGAGGTGATCGATATTAACATGTGCGAAATAGTTATTTGTCCTATTAAGTGTCATCAACTGTACTGACAATTAAACCAGTTTCGTAATTCCGCTAAAATCCTTCTCTCCATTTTCATGCTTTGTTGATAAAAATTTTTGACATCATACTTTTTATACCATCCACCATAGTATGGAGGGTATATTAATTTTGTCATTCCGTTTGTAACTCATCGAAATATTCATTTCCGACCCTATAAAGTATATATATTCTTAATCAGGGTAAAATTCTAAGACGATCTAGCCATTTCCGTCTGTCTGTTGTAATCACTCTAGCGTCTAAACGAATAGAGATAGATAGCCAAAATTTTGCATAGAGTCGTCTTTTGTCTGCAGGCAGGTCAAGTTCGAAGATGGGCTTTATCAGTCCACGTTTAGGCATAGCTCCCATATAAGGGTACCCTCCAAAATAAGAAGCTTATTTTCTTCTTGTGCCATCCAATGTTGCGATGAGTGCAATTGTTAAATTCGTTAATATTTATTAGAAATCTGCTTGTTAAATTTACAATTAGTTCGTCCAAATATGAGTCAAACAATGTAGTTCTATAAAAAGATTTGGAGTTCGAACTCATTACATTTGGCCTGTATAAACCCTTCTTGGCACTGGAACTTCTATCCCAAATTAGCTGGCAATAATTTTTGGTTCCATCTATATTTTGTAGAACTCCTAGTCACCATTTTGTCGTATAGCATTTAACTTATCAACTACTAAATGAATGTGATTATATGCTTTGACAGTTTGAAGAAACTTATCTTTAATTAAAATAAATCATTTAATCTCATCATTTTCCCATATTTCTTCCGTTTGTTCATTCAAGAAGCCTTACATGTTCTGTACGTTTTGAGACATCTTTCATTCTCGGTATACAGACCTGAATCCTCATCACCGCGCCTTTGTGGTATTCCATTTGTTTCGTGGGCGGTAAAGCATTCAATAGCCCCGGGCACCCTGTGAAACCTTTCCATAAACCTATGACAGGCGTATTTCCCGACGATAACACGGAAGGAGACTGCGTATAACCTCCTTCTTCTCATATAAGGCCAATTAGGTGTCCTTGTTAGCGCCCAGGAGCTGCCGCATAGTGAATTGCTGCAACTAATAGTCGCTTGCACAGACGACTTGAAAATGTTGTTGAACGTTACATTGGGGTAATTGGTAATCGGAATCGGTTCTCCAACCAGGTTCATGTTCGACTGCTGGAAAACTGCTTCTCATCGATGAAAGATGTAACGCCTCAAATGTTTGCAACTGTCGACCTCGCATGCTATCCATACAAGGCTTCAGTAGGGGGCCTGAGGGTTGATGTTTAATATATAATGATTTGGGAACCGAAGTCTATAGCATCCAAAAAATTCTATCTATGATATTATTTTTCGTTGTAGGTCACATGAAGTATTTTAATGATTTTTAGATCATTTTCCCACACTTTTGGCTGTAATGTGAAATTTTTGCTTCTTATTTGGTAGGAAATCCCATTTTGCTGTAGTCCCACCTGGTGTAACCCATAGGAGTTGCTAACTAAATTTGCCGTATAGTATGAATATGTACGAATATATACTTAAGTATGTAGACTAGGGTTATGAATATTTGCATTTTTTCTCAAAAATTATGTTGCTGATCAGGAATGACTAAAATAATTAGTTATTAATTGTATACCACGAAAAGCCACATAACTTTTGCACAAAATCAGACATTGGTCATTGGAATTGGCGTATTTTGAATCGATTTTATTTTCATTGTATGGGTCACGGAAATCCTTTATGATTTTTACAATTTAAAACGTGCCCTTGTATTTAATTGTATATTTGATTACAATGACACCAAAACATGTTTAAACATTCTTGAATTTAAAAGAAAAATTGCCATGATTTTATGGGTGAGTTTTTTCATAGAAACGCCAAACCATACGAAGTTACAAAAATCGTAGCTCTAATGTACACATATTCGTACGAAAATGTTAACACACAATCACCATCTGATAAGGATGTTATATTTAAAATTGACATAAAAACAACACTTCTTTCGGATTACATCCCCTCTTTTAATATTTTTGTACAGAAATATGTTCATATGTACAAACATACATACATATGTATGTACACGCACGTATATTCAAATAGAAATTCAAAAGAGATGTTAACTCTATTCACATGGTTCGTCGCAACACTTTGAAAGCATAGGCAAATTTCCTACTTCTATTCTGGAGAAGGCTGAGGATGCGAGCAACGTGCGCAGAAAAAGCTAAACAAATATTTGATTTATGATTAACTTTTACGTTTAATTTTTTTCTCCTTTCTTCTTTTATGTCAGTTGACTATGAACATCTGCATTAGGGAGCTATTGATGTACACATAATATCTTTGTATTTCGTTGTATAATATGTAGGATACAACATATTTGTTCATTAATATGCAAAAATATCTCTTTTTCTTGCCTTCTATTATTTTTGGAGTTGAAGTGACAGTCGTCGGCATCAGCTTTTCTTAAAAATTAGATTATTTAAACCTTAAAGAAACTATACGCATTATTTTTAGAACAGACATAGATGTACACGTGAACTTGACAGTTTTTAATCAAATGACAGTTACGTTGAAAATGAATGTATGTATATTGATATATGTATATATTAAATAAGTATGCATGTGAAAGTTTCAAACCAGTAAGGAAAGTAGTAAAGTCGGACTGGGCCGATTTTCAGGAAACTTAACACACATTATACTATACCTAATTCATTACGCTGTGTCAAATTTCGCGCAAATCGAAAGATATATAGGGCCTTTGGTGCACCATTTACATAAAATCGGACAAAACTATATATGGGAGCTACATCTAAATCTGAACCGATTTTCAATAAACTTAACACACTCATTCTAGACCTAATTCAATATGCTATGCCAAATTTCATTCAAATCGAAAGATATATATATGTATTAACATAATATTAAAGAAATATATTTTGTGCCAAATTTTGTGGAAATCGTTTAAGATAAATAGGGGCCTTTTACAGCAAAGACACGCTTGTTAGAAATATATATATATATATATATATATCTAATTATTCTCAATTTACCATTTTTCAGAGAAACTTAACACACATCATTCATGACCAATCACCAACGGTGTGCCAAATTTCGGTGCAAATCGAAGCAATGTTTGACGTGTGTGGTACGGTGTACACGCCGATTTGGCGGTGCGCACACCGATCGAAAGAAATTAAAAAAATTTAATTTTTCGTTGTGCGACGCGCACATGTTTACGTCTGTGGCCTGGAGTGTGGATATTTTCTCATTTTTTGTGTAATTTCGTGGAGTGCGGATCAGTGAACAATGTCAAACATGTGCAAAAAATGTTTTGGAAGATTTTTTTTGATATTTTTTTACACATACACTAAAGTGTGGGAAATAAAAATATTTTTTCCAGAATAAAATATAAGTATTTAGTAAATTTATATTAAATAAAAATATTTGATCTTTCTCCGTCCATCTTCACGCTTCAAAAATAAATATGAAATGAAGTTTTGTGGATCCGTTTGACGTGTGTGGGCTAGAAGCTTCACACCGATTGAACGCACATGTTTGACGTGTGTGGCCCACTTTAGTCTCGATGTTTCCAATTGTTTCATAAATTTGATTTTGACTCATTCAGTTTTCAAAATTTAAATGAAAATACCTTCCTTCGAAATGTACCCATATCATGTGTTCATTGGCAAGACCTGCTGAATAATTAATATTTATAGATATTTTGAAGTTCCCTATCTTTAAAACTTAAAAATATAATTTGTAACATCCATGGTTAGATTTATTATATCAATGAGCAGCTTTAGAAAATATATTTTGTTTAATTTATTTTGAATATGACAATCGACATACACACAATTTTACGGAATTGATTTTTCATTTTATTTGAAATGCCATTATCAATTTCTCAAATGAGACTACTTTGTATAATTATATTATGATGCGCATCGATTATGTTTTATAATAAATCATCAATTAATAGTCGTTTATTTCGTAATTTCTTTGTATCCAATGACATAGGTAGGTAGGCTATGTAAACCTTATGTTATGCCTTCACCTACTTCGTTTCGTTTTAGTGTGTACACAAACCATTCTCTAGCATAGCCAGATCATTGCCACTTTACATACAGTACTAATGTCAGGAATGTGGCAACACCAAATAATGGCGTTCGCAAAAATGACAGCTGCTGACATATAAACAAACTTCAAACTATTTGAAATAGGAAGCGCAAACTAACGGCACGCTCAGCCGCTGCTCTAAGTTAAATTGTGTATTTTTTGTTTTAATTGTTATTTGTAATCAAAGAAAAAAGGAATTCAATTAATTTGTTGTGCACAGTGCTCGGCGGTGAATGGAATTTGTGTAACATTGCCATAGAACCAGACCGAACAACAGTGCAGCAGTTGTGAACAGAAAAGGAAAAAAGTTTTTTGTTTTGTTCGTCGTTCAATTGTGAATTGTAATTAAAAATTCCTGTCCCTTTTTGTTGTTTGTGTTTTGTCATATTTTTCTGTCTGTCCTGTTGTGAGAGTGTGTGAAACGAACACCTGAGCGCTGCCGCCTTAGAAGCAAAAAAAAATCGAATATGAGTGCATTCGAGGTATTTGGAGTGAATTCAATTGGAAGTGGATGTATTAGTTTTGGATTAATTTTTGCTTTTCATCTTCTCCCCCTATCTATCGTAGGTTAAGGTGACACCAACGCGATGTAAAAACAAACGATTGGCTGAATCTCGCGAACCCACTGAAGTGGTAATGGCGCCATTTTCCGGCAAATCCATTGTTCTCTTCGAAGGTGTTCCCGTTACAAAAACGGCAAGAAGAATTCTGCGCATAATAAATCCATCTGAGACTGATATTGAGGTAAGGACGCACACCTTAGAGAAACAAAGAACTCAGGAATTGTGTGTGCAAGGGAGAATGTGAAAAAAACAAACAGCAAAAAAAATGGCAAACGCCAGACAGATGAGCCAGCATTCCATTATTATCCATCGGACTAAATGCAAACACATACATGTACACACAGTATGTGTGGTCATATAAACATTACCCTTCCACATCGGAATTATGCCTTCATTAACTTGAATGCTGCACACAGATGCATGTACACACATAATGCAAAATTTGTATTCAAGTCTCACATCCATGCCCACAACCATTTTGGGTTTACTCAAGCAAATGCAAAAAAGGACAAGAAATTAGTACACTATTGATCCAACAGAAGCAGCAACAGTAATAGAACCGTGTGAAAGCATTTTTAATTTTCACAAAAGTGACACGAATTGACTTGCTGTTCTGTTCATTTGATGGAGGCTCCAATTGATAGTTAGTTGCTAGGTTGCCTAGTTAGTTGATAGAGCCATTCGTGTCAACAATTTAGGGTCACAGTTTTATTTATTATCTATGCTATCAAAGGACAATTTGAAATTTCTTTTCAATGTTTAGGAAAACAACAAACAAATAAATACTCAGAAGGAAAAGGGGGGTTGATATGGACAACATTTGGTTGCCTGCCTTATGGTGAAATTCCTTTACAATGGCACATTCCTTTCATTTTTATTTATTTCGATAAACGCGCCAGGGCATACATGTGTGCGCACATGGTATAATGGGTGTTAGCGCCTTTTTGGTAAATTTGCCTTTTTTCATTATTGTGGTGGCATACATCTTAAAGGACTCGCCGCACACACATGGACATTGGGCAAATGTGCAACATAATGGTGGAATATACGGTGAACATATGCTTCCATAAATTGATTTTATTAACAGGATCATACTAAGGTTATTTTCAAACCGAAACATATTTCTTTTGTGAGTAGATACATTAAATTGCAATTACATTTTTAAAATGTAGGTACAAAGATTTAAAACACACATGAGTATATGGTAGGATTAAACATGTGTGTAATTTAATCTGGGGAAAAATTAAAACCATCGATTGCAATAAAAGTTTTATTTTTGAAGAGTAGATCATAACCTCTAATCTTGCAAAGTTATCTTTATATCCATAGGTAGACAATCATAATATGAAGCGAAATGTTATGAAATGTAATCAAATGTTCCACTAGAGGCAGGTGTAGGTGTACATTTAATATATGTAATTTAAAATCCATTCACCAATATTTATAATCGCCCATCTTCTAAAGAAGAAATGTAGTACAACAACTGAACCGCCTTTTGCATTAACAGATGATATATTTGTATTTATGCTTCCACAGCAAAACTTAAATGGTGAAAGCATGTTGAAATCTATTGAGAGTCTGTGATTTACCAATATGTGATGTAAAAAAATCATTATCGATTCAAGGCCAGTTTGGCTTCATGCCAGATATTTTTTTTTTATTTTTTTTTAATAAAAAATGTAGGGGGCGCCTTTGAACAGCGCTCATAAAATCTCGGTTTAAAATTTTTTCCGACGGGCCACACATTTTTGATATGGTAATATTGTTCTCTAGAGTCGTAAATAATTTTTGCTAGCATTTTCAGTTGTCGACAAAATGTAGATACATTTTTTGAACATTTTTTCGCTGTTTTCGCAGTGCCATTGTAAACTTTTAATTTGTTGTAAGGGCGTAGAAAGGTCTCAATGATAGTTTTCTTTCGTTAAACCAATTTTTGCATTCCAACAATCATTTCAAACATATCTAATCACCAGTAGTCGGCACATTAAGGATGTTTGCATTTTTAACGTCGTGTTACCATCCCGAGTGCATTTTTTCAGTATATTGTATTTAGATTCATCTGTTTCGAAATTTTTTTTTACTCCCCGATGCAATAAAAATTTGTTGAATTAATTTGTATTAAAGTAGATTAAATTAATAATTGGGTAAAAAAGTGTCTCTTAGCCATTTGTCGGTACTTGTTTCCAATTGTCTTCATGTCATGTTCCAATAGTCGGGGTTAAACAAAAAATATTTTTATTGGATTTTTTTTCTGCTATTTCCAAAAATAAATTTTTATTGGATGGTTCCATCGGTGTTGTATTGAAAAAGTTTTATAAAATAATTTTATTTATTAAAATGTTATAATTATAAAACATAATGCCGACTTTGGGAACCTGTTATCCAATTCTCGGCATGGCTAAATAGATATTTCAGAGGTTAAAATAATTTAAGATTACAACCATTTCTTCTATTATGGAAAACCACTCAAAACAGATTTTTTTTTTTTATAAATTATTCGGTATTTAGAGCGCTTATTTTATTTTTTTTTCAATTTTTAGCTTAAATGATCGAAAAGGTGCTTATATTATTCACTTATATGTCGACTATAGGAAAACCTTAAACCATCGATAAAAATATCATAATTACAAATATTTTTAATGATTTTAAATTCATTTAAGTGTTCTATATTAAGAAGAAGTTCCATGTAAAAAGTAGATAATTTTAATATAGTTACAAGTCTTTTAAAATCGACATATACACTCATTTTTTTGAACATAATGATTTCGTCCATTAAAACTGTAATAAAATATTTAAATATTTGTAATAATAAATTTAATGTGTCATATGATATTCAGTGTAAAGGTAACATCTGTATCTAAGGAACTGAACTAAGGGAACTGAACTAAGGGAACTGATGACTTCCAATGGCTAAGATCCAAAACTATAGTCTTCCCTGTCTTAACCCTTCGCGGACAACGTCATACTTTCCCCACTAATAAATGTTTTTTAGGATTATCTTTTATTTACATTGCCATAGACATAAGTTCTCGCCGAATAAGTCAATATTTGCCGCAATAATATTGATGTCTTACAGATTTTTATATTTATTCCCTAAGTGACAATAATAAAATGTTATAATTACAGGTTAGCGTTAACAAACCAATCAATCCTGAACACAATGTAACCCTTGAATGGACAGAAAACTCTGTGCCGGCACAGAGCGAAATTATAATGGAAATGGTATGGTCGCCACAAACTGATGTGTCATGCAAGGAAACTTTACAATTAATCGATGATAGGAATTTTCGTAAAGACGTCATGGTTATTCTAAAATCGGTACCAAATAAACCAGCCAAGGTAAGTAGAAAAGAACACTTTAATATTCAAATTCATTATTCTTCCATACACATGTTTCCAATCGACGCTGAATTAATTTTTTCTCTTCTTTCTATCTCAATTCCCTACATCCGGATTTACCCTTTAACATAGAATGTGCGTAAATTCCCTACAATATCATCGAGCAATGCTACACATGTGAAAACACTGCGCCTCAAATCGCCCACAAGTGCTTCTGGCAAAGTTAACAGATTAACACAGCAACAACAGCATCAGCAGTTGCAAAAGAAGCGATTGTCAACGGCAATTGAGAATAACAGTAGCAAATCCCAAGGTGTGGGGAAAAGCGAAACAAAGCCGCCACCACCAACCCATTCACAACAATTATCTTCATCGTCGTCGTATAAAAACATTACCACGAATCATAAAGGTAACGGAATTAGCAATAAGCTAGCATCAATGCCGCCAACGCGAGATAATGCGACGACATTGAAAGCCAACAATATTCAGTCTCATACATCACCTTTAATGGAACGCAATATTTATTCAAATGAAAATGCTGATCACATGAAGGTGGCAGCAAATCTTTCGCCACATTTCCTCCATGACAACAAGGATGCATTGAAGGAGAATGTTAGCCCCATGGCTATGTCTAATGTTTTGGATATGATTGATGAACTGAAATTTACACCGGCTACTGTAACGCTGTCCAAACCTCCACAATCGCGATTGGAGAGCTTAGCCTCATTGCCCACTCCAATGGCAGCCGTGCCAATTATTCATACCCCGGATCATACAGACCATGCCCGAGAATTGAAGCCGAGATGTTTAAATATAGAATTGGATGAAGATGAACAGGGTGTAGCGTCCAACGAAGATTTACACAATGACACCAAAGGTGTTTCCATTGTCATTACCAATAAAACATTTGATGTCAAACATTGTGAGAGTTTGGACAGTTCCGCAGATAATTTGAATAGTTCAGTTGATGTCAATTGTAGGCATAGTACGGGAACTGGTTTGCCTCTAAACAAAACAACCGTCATTAGTACAACACCCGTGGCAAGACCCTTAGATATGATAAAAGAAGAAGAAAATACAAGTCCTCCCAATGCTACGAATGTCACAACACCGTCGGGTCAACCCGTGGAGACACCCAAAGCATCCACAGAAGAAGATCTGAAACGTGATATTAAACTAGTGGGTACACCATTGCGCAAATATTCGGAATCCATGAAGGATTTATATCAAAAATCACCACAATCTGCAGTGTTGACGCAGGGGTCTTTGCCAAATCTCAATGAGATGGAGACGATTAAGTCATTCGAACAAAATCGTTATTTTCAACAGGCCACTTCCCAGGTCAAACTTAGCAATCCTAAAGTAAATGGAAGTGCTTCTAATGCTGACAATAAACCTGTGGAATCTGCCCATGATACGTCCATTGATGTGTTAAATGCCAGTCAGACTAGTTTAATATCTCACCCCGATGTAATGTTCAATCATAATGAAATTCTTGCTCAATCCAGTCGCTTCAATTTAAATGAAGTCGGTTTAAGATGCCGTAAAAGTAGTCCTGTTGTTAATAAAACGAAAAACACAAATTCTCGGACTAAAACTAACACCCCACCTTCGGCAACAAAAACCGCAAAACCAAAACTGCAAACTGTAACAGAATCCAATGGCCATAAAAGAAGATCCACCGAATTATCGTTTTCTGATTCCCAAAGTGTCGAGTCGGTCATCAGTACATGTAGTGCAAAGACAAGTTCCACAAAATCGAGTTATTCTACAGTATCACCACCTAAACGACAGAAGCTTGATAATCGTTCTCCTTCCAATGCTGCAATGGCAAAGGTGAAGTCATGGTCTCAGACACAACCTAAAAAATTCAAATTGGCCAAAACATTGTCGTTGGTTAAGAAACCTGTCACGCCTCGTAAAATGAAGGAGGAACCACGCACACGATTATATGATTCAGAATTATTTTTACAGCCATACATTAATCCAGATCCATTTGCGGCAACCACAACATGTGATCCGTTTTTGGCGTCGACCATGTACTTAGACGAAGCTGCCGTGGATAGACATCAAACTGATTTCAAAAAATGGCTTAATGCTTTGGTCACAATGCCAGCAGAATTGGATACGGATTCGAATGCCAAAATCGATGTGGGTAAATTGTTTAATGAAGTTCGCCATAAGGATTTAATATTGGCACCCACGAAAGAGGAACAATCGATGACATATCTAACAAACTTCCGATTGGAGTCGTTACGTAAAGCAGCCGTTCAGCTATTCCTTAGCGAGGAGATGCGCGGCCCATGCTCCAAAGTTGCCGTCTATGTCCAGAAGAATGCTTTGCGCATACGTAGCGATCGTAATTTGCATTTAGATGTTGTAACACAACGGGAAATTTTGGAATTGCTTTTGTGTTTCAATCCACTGTGGTTACGTTTGGGTTTGGAAGTTGTATATGGTGAAAAAATTCACCTTCAATCGAATCGGGATATTGTTGGATTGAGTACATTCATATTGAATAGGTAAGTGAAGAAATATTAATGCTAATGCAAATGTTGTAAACATTTATAGAGTAAATCAGATATGGTCAGAAATGTGTTGGGTTTTAAGTACCGAAATGTTTCATAATTTCAACAATACCAAAAAAAAACTGGCTGTCAATGGTCTATTCATTCAGATCCATAAAGGAATAAATGTGATCAAAATATAATGAGTCTTACTTTATATAATATGACAATATAGTTACCATAGGCTTTAAGTAGCTAAAAGCTGAGTTGCAAAAATTACGAATTTCAACAAGAACATTATGTGCTTCATCTGTATCCCTCAGAACTCAATAGAACTTTATTATTTTGCAAATCTTGATATTTGATCCTTATTCATGAACAAATAGTATCATAAAAATATACTCTTTTTTATTTTAGATTTTTCCGCGACAAATTCCTGGAACAAAAATACTCTAAAGCCTATACCCTTTCCGAAGAATATGCTGAACATATTAAAAAGTTCACACTACAGAAATTCTTTTTCTTAATGCTATTTTTGGATAAGGCAAAGGAGAAACGTATTATTACCCATAATCCGTGCCTTTTCATTAAGAAATCTCCACACAAAGAAACACGAGAAATTCTACTACGTTTTTCATGTGAACTATTGGCCAATGTGGGTGACATTACCAGAGATCTAAAACGTTTGGGTTATGTTCTGACGCATAAACAAAACTATTTGGATGAATTTGATTATGCTTTCCATAATTTGGCCGTCGATTTACGTGATGGCATACGACTGACAAGAGTAATGGAAATCATATTATTGCGAGATGATCTGACGAAGCAGCTGAGAGTACCAGCCATATCCCGTCTACAGAGAATCTTCAATGTTAATTTGGGTTTGAAGGCATTGAGTGAAGCCGATTTCCAATTAAAGGGTGAAATAAGTGCAAACGATATTGTTGATGGCCATAGGGAGAAGACTCTATCTTTACTTTGGCAAATCATTTACAAATTCCGATCGCCCAAATTCCATGCTGCCGCTAGGGTAATACAACAATGGTGGCGTAACTCTTGGTTGAAAGTTGTCATTACAAGGCGTATTCGACGCAAGGAGGAGTTGCGCAGAGAGGCAGCTGCCACCACAATACAGAAAGTATATCGTGCTTTTGTGACTCGACGAATGGTCGAGGCCTATAGACAGGAGCGTACAAGGGCTGTCGTGGTATTACAGAAACACTGTCGTCGTTATTTAGCGCGTAAACGATTCATTACGACTGTCCAGTGTATAGTTATTATACAAACTTGGTATAAAGCCATACGGCTGGGTAAAATGGAACGTGAGAATTATCAGAAGTTACGTCAAAGTGCAATATGCCTACAACGTCATTGGCGTTTGAAACGAGAAGCTAAAGCTTTAAGAGAACAGGCAGCTTTAGAAAAATGTAAATATCATCAAGAAAGAAAAGCGGCAGCCTGTCGTATACAAGCAGTATGGCGTGGTCATATGGCACGTCAATGCTATACCAGAACAATTTCTGCAGTTTTGCTAATACAGAGGATGTATCGGAGCCGTAATCTTATGAAACAGCAGTTTTTCGAATATCAACAACTGAGAACAATGGTCATTTTTGTACAAAGAAAATTCCGTGCCAACAGAGAAATGCAAACGAAGAGAGAACAATATCAAAAGTTAAGGACTAGCGTCATCCGAATACAGCGTTATTATCGGGCCACAGTTCTAATGCGTCAACAACGCAAACAATATCTGAATATTCGGCAAAAAATTATTATCATTCAAAGGAAATGGCGAGCTACTCTACTCAGTCGCCAAGTTCGGATGCATTTCATTGCAATGCAATACTATGCTACAGTGGTTCAGCAGAAATTTCGTGCTACAAAACAAATGCGCATCGATCGAGAGAATTATCTACATTTACGGACTTGTGTTGTAAATATTCAAAGACGGTTTCGTGCTAAACTGTTAATGCGCAGGGCATATCGCGAATATCGAGCCAAAGTAATTGCCATACAAACCATACAAAGTCGTTTTCATGCTTACAAGAAAATGCGCTATCTACGAGCCAAGTATCAAGGTACACGCGCAGCTGTCTTATGCATTCAAGAACATTTCCGAAATTACCTGCAAATGAAAGAAGACCGTCAGAAGTATTTGAAATTCCGACAGGCAGCTATAAGTATACAACGTGCCTATCGTACATATCGTATAATGAAAATGCAACAAGGTAACTATCAACAAATGAAACAGGCCGCTATTTGCATCCAACGAAGATATCGGGCCACCTTAGCCATGCGTGCCCAACGCAAGGAATACTTACGCCAGCGTTCTCTAATCATTGCCATACAATTGCGCTACAAAGCCACTCTCTTAGCACGCCAAATCCGTCAACAATATCTGTACCAGAGATCTCTTATAATACAGGTACAAAGACGTTTTCGGGCCAAAAAACAAATGGAAATCGAATCGAAGCGTTACGCGTATGTTCGATCCCAAGTCATTTGTATACAAACTCATTTCCGTTTATATCTACAAATGAAACAACAGCAAAATGCCTATAAAACCCAACGTTTGGCAGCTATAAAAATACAACGATGGTATCGGTCAATTCTAGAAATGAGGCAAAAACAGGGCTGCTATAAACGTTTGCGAACGTCAAGTCTTACCATCCAAAGAAAATGGAGAGCAACTCGGCAGGCACGCGAACAGCGAAAACTCTTCCTTAAAACTGTACAAAAAATTATCCTGTTACAAAGGGTTGTTAGGGCGACTATACAAATGCGCAGAGTTCAGGCCGAATATCAACGACAGCGACAAGCTGCCATTGTTATACAGCGGCGTTTTAGGGCACACCGTGAAATGCTACAAATACGTTCACAATATCAGTTAATACGTTCTCTTATCATTTGCATACAACGCAAATTTAGAGCTAATCGTGAAATGCTTCGTGTCCGCTACGATTTCATTCTGTTGCGAAAGACAACCATACACCTGCAACAGAAATATCGTGGTCGCGTGTTGATGCGTGAACAACGTGAACATTTTCTCCAGCTCAAAAACAATATTGTCGACTTTCAGGCTCATGCACGTGGTCTATTGGCACGTCGCCGTTATCAAGCTCTCATGACACCAGAAATGAAAGAGTTATTGCGCCAAAAGAAAGCTGCCAAAATCATTCAACGTTTCTGGCGCGGTTATCGAATTCGTAAACGTTATCACAATGCCCGCATCAAGACCATACGTAAAAATATTGCCGCCCTCAAGGAATCGACGAATACTGTGAATACTATACGTTTTAAGGTTCAGGATGCTGTACGTATATTAAGAGGCAGATTTAGTGCATCGGAGGCATTAAATGTTTTAGTTCGCTTGGGTAAGTTTGTATTTTGATTGTTGTAATATCGTTTTTGGTCAATTGTTAGAGTCTTAATACCGGCTGCGTTTGTAAACAAAATGCAGATTGCATTTATTTTCCAATTGGGAAGACATGGATTGGATTAACTTAATCATTTGCCCTTGGATGAACCCTTTTGAAAATAATGGTAATCGGTTAACATTTTCATATGTCCCCCATATCGCCCGATTTTATATAGATGGGGCACCATCAAATGGACACGAAATTGCATCCAGGATTATGAATTGATTTCAGTCCATTTTAGTCGGTCCAATTGTCACCAATTTTCTACAGCTTTCAACATTAAGTCTGGAATAACGCGCGTTAAATTTGCTTACAATCCGCTCCGATTTAGATATACCGATAATTTGTAAATGGTGCATACCCGATGCCCACCCGTTTAATCGGTCCCAATATCTAATTAACTTCACAAAACCCCAACAAATTTTATATTCCCAATTCTAATTGGGTTGCAACCCGTTTTCTTTACAAATTGGATTATAAACAGGATCGAAACATAGATACAATTTCATTATCTTTTTCTCTCTCCTATTTTATCCCTCCAACCCGTAGTTTTTTGGTTTTTGCAAATACTCGCACCTCTAACAGTAATAAATTTTAATTTTATTGCAGATCGTATTTCTCGTACTGTTCCACATCTCTTAATGTGCCGTTCGGATTTCATTTCCACATTCTGCTATGGCATTATGGCACAGGCCATACGGTCCGAAGTCGATAAGCAACTGATTATGTATTGCAGCCGCATCATTTTGAATTTGGCTCGTTATAACAGTACGACCGCGAATACATTCCAAGAAGGTGGCCTGGTCACCATTGCACAAATGCTGCTGCGTTGGTGCGATAAAGATTGTGAGATTTTCAATACGCTGTGCACACTTATATGGATATTTGCCCATTGTCCGGTCAAGCGTAAGGTAAGTAATCATTGGGGTGTACTTTAAGTAACCAACACCAAAACAACGCTGCTACCACCCACACTCGCAATAATGGTGGATCGTTGTTCAAAGTTGGCCTATATATCAAACAACTAATTGTATGGGCTTTGCTTCTACCGTTCTATGTGTAATAATTCTTTGTAACATTGGTTGAGTTTGGCTTTTTTTGTTTTGTTTTGCAGATTATACGTGATTTCATGACCACCACAGATGCCATTTACATGGTAAGGGAAACGAAAAAGCTGGTTGCGCGCAAGGAGAAAATGAAACAAAATGTACGCAAGCCAGTTGCGGTAGCAATTACACAACGTGGCATGGGATCACAGCAACAAAACTTTTCAAGTCGTGCCTTACCTAGTTTGGAGCCAGATTATGGTGTTATACGCAATAAGCCATATACCTTCATTTCGTCGGTGTATGCCTTCGATACAATATTGTATAAATTGGGAATTGATATATTCTAAGTGATTTTTAAATACCCATCTCTTCGGGCATACCATGCCAGCAGCAGTAGCACCGTTTTGTGTTGCTGCCTAAGCAACAGTGGAATACAGCTTGTGAGCCTGCTGAACAGGACACATTCATTCATCGTCATTATGTGGCGCTGTGTGCATTCAATCCTTGTTTGGATTTTATTTTACAGTCTATTATTATTATTATTTTCTGTTTCGCCCTGCTTCGTTCATGTTATGTGTATAAACTTAACTCGTTTTTTTATTGTTTCGTTTCTGTTTTTCATTTTGTATTCTCTGTTTACTTGTAAGTCGTTTTAATGACATTAAATTCAAATTTGATTTTATCCTATAAGACGTTGTTCCGTTGAGAGTCTTTAGCGAGCATCATCATCATCTCGCCAATCATTTTTTAGTTTACGTAATATTTTGTATGTGTACGACTTGATGATAATTTGTGTCTTTATTTTAGTGTATTATACTTTGAAAACAAAATTGTGTATTATTTGTATCTGAAATTTGTAACATTCAATGTAAATCTATGCATGTAAATGAACAAAAAATATATATAATAAATAAAAAAGCAAAAAAGAAATATATTTTGTGCCAGCGTTGTTATATTGTTTGGCTCAACATTTGTATAGATTGGGTTAAAAAGTATTGCTCTGTTCCCGTTTTTATACCCTCCACCATAGTATGGAGCGTATATTAATTTTGTTTTTCCGTTTGTAACTCATCGAAATAATAATTTCTGACCCTATAAAGTATATATATTCTTGATCAGATCTTCTAAGACGATCTAAGCAGGGACGTACGCAGGGGGGGAGCCCGGGGGGCCCGGCCCCCCCGAAATGAATTTTTTTCACAGTAAATTTATGTTTGCAACAGCGAATTTTTTCATTTTGTATTGCCGGGGTTTTGGGGTTCTTGAGCGCGTTTTTGCTAGTGGGTACCCAATTTCTCCACAAAAAATTATACATATAGGTCCATTTTTTCTGATAGCCCCCATATAACGGTACCCTCTAATTTTCAGTATTTTGGGGGTTTTGATCGTAGTTTTTAACCGAAGTGGCTCTAATTTAGTACATTGAGTTCTTATCCGGTACCAAATCTCTCCACTAAAAATTATAAATATAGGACAATTTTTTTCTGGAAGCCCCCATATAAGAGTACCCCGTAAATGTCGCTATTTTGGGGTTCTTGAGCGCGTTTTCAACCGATTTCGCTGAAATTTGGTACATTTGGTTCTTATTGGGTGCCAAATATCTCCACCAAGAATTATAAATATAGGTCCAATTTTTCTGGTAGCCCCCTTATAAGGGTATCCTTATATCGCTATCTTGAGGTTTTTGAGCACGTTTTTCAACCGAATTTGCTGAAATTTGGTATTTTGTAGTCGAATATGGTAACAAATTTCTCTACAAAAAATTTTTAGTATGCCCCCTCTTTTTGGGGTAGTCCCCATATAACCCCTTTTTATACCCTCCACCATAGTATGGAGCGTATATTAATTTTGTTTTTCCGTTTGTAACTCATCGAAATAATCATTTCTGACCCTATAAAGTATATATATTCTTGATCAGCGTAAAATTCTAAGACGATCTAAGCATGTCCGTCTCTCCCTCTGTTGTAATCACTCTACCGTCTAAACGTGTTGAGATAGATCGCCAAAATTTTGCACGGAGTCGTCTTTTGTCTGCAGGCAAGTCAATTTCGAATATGGGATATATCGGTCGACGTTTAGGCATAGCTCCCATATAAGGGTACCCCCCAATTTTACGTATTTTGGGGTTCTTGCGCGTTTTTAAACCGAATTCGCTGAAATTTGGTACATTGAGTTGCTATTGGGTACCCAATTTCGCCACTAAAAATTATAAATATAGGTCCATTTTTTCTGGTAGCCCCCATATAAGGGTACTCCAAAAATGTCGGTATTTTGGGCTTCTTGAGCGCGTTTTTCAACCGAATTCGCTGAAATTTGGTACGTTTGGTTCTTATTGGGTGCCAAATATCTCCACCAAAAATTATAAATATAGGTCCAATTTTTCTGGTAGCCCCCATATAATGGGGCTGAACTGTAACCCGTATTTAGGCCTAGCCCCTGTGTGGGATGTGCCAGAAGGAGGGGACCGATATTCCCCATCTTCGAACTTGAACTAAGTTTGGAAGAAATAATCAGCCTTATTCTGGATATTCGCTGGGAGATATCTCGCATATAAAAAATTTTTCGCTTTCACATTCTCGCCTTATTCTGAATGAATAGGGAGACGCAAAAAATGCGATATGCAGATTCGAGTTTTCGAAAATGGTGGTTGAAAAAAAGATTCGTGTTGCCATATCGTAAATTAAGTTGCGCTGTGTGTGGCCATATTGTAATTTAAGTTGCAATGTGTGTTGCCCCATTGTAATTTAATTGTGTAATATTTTTCAATATATTATTTATTGATTTTTGTTATTAAAAATTGTTACTTTTTATTGTTATTTAAACTTTATAGCAATACAAATGTGAAATATCAAGAATCCGCTGTATAAATGCTTTGTAATTAAAAGAAAATAAATTAAAGTTTGAAAATATGGGAACCTACAATATGGCATGTGAAACAGCTGTTCATTGTTTTGATGCAATTTGTTGCAACAACTACAATAGATTACAAATAAATGAACATTTTTTTATGATGGCAAAAACACAACGAATAATAGGAAGAAATCTGCGATTTAATTAATTAATTCACAGTTTATTATTTCACTACATAATTGTGTGCCTTTTTATTTAATTTTGATATTTTATCTCCCCAAATTCTTAAAGTGGTCAGTTATGTTATGATTTGCTGCTACTCCTTTATTTGTTCCTTCAAATCATGCACACGATAATTTTGAAAAAAAAAAAATATATTTTGTTCTTTCATAATTTTTATATCAGTTTTTCACTCTTAAGCGGCTCATCAGGCAAATTTGGGTTTTCCATAATTTTTAAAATGTTTTTCTTGAGAGACAGATCCTCACACAAATGTCTGTATTTCGCCTCCAAAATGCATCAAACTCGACTTAAATATTCCTTATTACCTTCATACATTCTTTGGCAGCATGCATCGTTATCAATAGGATTTCCAATGGCATTTTATTGGCTGTTTTCCAGTTAAAAATTTGCTTACTATCATTTATAATATTCTAAATCGTCATAGAATAAGTATTGTGTAAATATTTTTCATAAAAATAGTTATTACTTATGTTTTTGTAGTCAACTCCCCTTAAATTTATTAGCGAAAAATTTCGCACAAAATTTCATCTCATCTGTAATTCAGAATACCTAATTTTTCGCCAAAGCGGATTTTTTCGCTTTCGAACTTCATTCAGAATAAGGCGAAAGCGAGAATGCGAAAAAATTCACTGGAAAATGTTGTTCAGAATAAGGCGAAGGGAAAGAGCGAGTAAATTCACATGGAATTGACATCTAGAATAAGGCTGAATATGATGGCCAAAGTTTGGATGAAATCAAAATTTTCTGAAACAAATGTTTTTTCCAAAGAAACATGGGGTCTAGAACCATTTTAACTGTGTCGAAGTGTATACACCCTCATTAGCCATAAAGCTGAGGGTATAATCCACTTTTTGTATTTTCCCTATATTTTCATTTCAAGTACCTGTCAGTATACCTATGGTGCCAAATATCTCCACCAAAAATTATAAATATAGGTCCAATTTTTCTGGTAGCCCCCATATAATGGGGCTGAACTGTAACCCGTATTTAGGCCTAGCCCCTGTGTGGGATGTGCCAGAAGGAGGGGACCGATATTCCTCATCTTCGAACTTGAACTAAGTTTGGAAGAAATAATATGATGGCCAAAGTTGGAAGGAAGGCAATAATCGTCTGGTGCTAGGGGATTTCCATGCACATCATGAGTTATGGTATTTCGTCCTAGGTAATGACCAGAGGGACATGGCGCTTGCTGAGCAAAGGATAAGGGGAGACAGCCAAAACTCACCGGACATTTCCATCGTGTCTCCGAGTCTGACAAATGACGTGGCTTAGCAACCCGCCATATCACTTTATAACTTCTGAACGCCTTACTTTCCAATCGTCGCTTTAGAGAACTGCCCAACACTTTTGATGCTCGGGTAGCAGAAAGGAATTTCCGGGACATCATCACTGCTGCAGCCGCTCGCTATATACCTGCGGGTCGTATTCCCGAACTAAGCCCAAACTTCCCAGCAGAAGCAGGGGGACTAGCGAATGAGCGTGATGAGCTTCGTCGTACTAACCCCACAGTCAGAGAACTGACGTTGGAGGTGAACAGGTTAGTACCGGAGTGAGTAAATTGTGGGCAACCGTTAAGTCGCTCTCGAACCCTGGAAAGAAAGAGGATCGGACTTCTGTCTCATTCCACGGCGTTGAGGAGACAGATTCGAAGAGGTGCGCGTGTTATTTCAACCGGCAGTTTATAGAGCACCCCGAGAGTGACCGGGCGAAGAGAAGAGTATTGCGCCGTATACGCTCTCTTCAAGTGGTGGAGGAACCATCGCGACTTACGTTGGAGGATATTGCAAGTGTCATCAGGAACGCGAAATCATCCAAGGCGATTGGTGGAATATCCATGGTGATGTTGAAGCAGCTTGATGAGCCAGGAGTATAATATCTTACGAAAGTCCTCAACTTGTCGTTAGCCACCCTAGTAGTTCCCGATGCCTGGAAAATGGGCAGGGTGGTCCCGCTACTGAAGCCGGGCAAGGATGCCAGCAAAGGTGAGTCATACAGGCCGATCCCACTTTTGTCGCCAGTAGCCAAGACACTTGAGGCTTTATTACTCCCTAGCATTCGTGAATGCTACTCATTTGCTGATCATCAACATGGGTTTCGGAAGCAGAATAGTACAACAACAGCTTTACACGCCATTTCCACACACATAGCAGAAGGACTCAACCAGAACAGGCCGTGTAACAGAACAGTCATGGCGGCGCTGGACCTATCAAAGGCACGCCAAGCTGTTCGAGGACGTCGAGAGAACAACCCTCCAGCCAAGTTTGAAACGTTGGATCGT